GGATCGTGCGCGATAATAACGTGTACCTATCGACTGAACTCGGACGGCGCGGCGTGGCGCGGCGCGGCGCGAATCGAACGCGCCGCACGCCACGCCGCGCGCCGCGTTTGATGTCGATAGCTAGCGAAGCCCCTTCTATGCTCTAAGCTCCAATTGCACGTTATCGAGCACGATATATAGAATATTATACACGAGGTGTTAATCTAGCTTCATTCTACAGAGCCCGGACAATTCCGAGGGCATAGTCTCCCTTAAGGTTTCAAGATAAATTATAAATTTTCTAGAATAAAACATTTTATCGATATGGTAACGTGTGTTAATTCTAAAAAGAAAAAGGTCTGGTTCTTTTGGAATAAAATTATATAACCAAGTTCAATTAGCTTCCAGTAAACGGCCATCGATTCTCTACGACTCTACGCGATCCTTCTATCTTGTCAATATATACAATGCATGTGTGTATGCATATGCGATATGAGATATGCGATGACACACCCGAAACACCCCGTATGCAGGCTTGGTGGTCGGAAAGTGGGTAATGGTTTAACTCGTAGAACTCTATATCTACTTGACATGTAGGGCCGACGCACGATGTGGACGCGACGTATAATCAGTATGCGGCACGGCGGCTTATGCATCAAACCGCGCCACCACGAATCCATCGTAACTTTTGTACGATGTAAGACGTATAGTGTACCCCGAGGCGCGAATCGATAATGTTGCAACGAATCTCCCGAGTCACGGCAGACTAGGCCGTATGGAGGAATTCAAGATTGGACTGAAAATTTTTCAAATCACAACGGAGGAAATCAGATCGTGCCATGATCGCGTCCTGATCGCGTCCGCAACGTGGCCAACTCGCGTGGAAAAAAAGCTCACTCTTCTCTTCGCAGCTCCTGGATTTATAAGAGGGATAAGATTAGAGGAGCGATCCGATTATGTTTTGCTGGTTTTTAAGTCGCCATGATTCGATATCAAGTGTGCAAGGGATTCCGATGGTCTCAGTCTCCCCGCTGCTGCTACAAATTGCAGTTTTGACGCCCGCGCGCAATCATTCCCTCGAATCGCAATAGCATATATTTGACGGACCTGGCAGTTTCAGCCTAATGTCGCTAGTGTACGTGGCGGCTCTCAACATTAAACCTTCTCTTTGTTTCCGTACTTGGACTGGTACATTTCTCTTTTACAAACAAGAGTCCGACACAATACTGGATTTCGTCACTTGCCTTGTCTAAAAAAACCGCTAATTTCTTCCTTCTCCCTCGTCAAATTTTTTTCTATTATTAACACTACAAGCATCGTGAGCGGTCGTTTATTGGCCGTTTCTCTTTTTCAGAATATTGTATTTTTCTTGTGAAAGATTTCTAAATGATAGGATTCTGTTTACTTTTTCAATAATTACGTCCTGTGTACTGATGCAATATTTGACTTTTTATCACTTTTATTTTATAATAATTTATTCGCTTGATCTGCCTGTACTGGATAAGAAACGTTGGTGTTAATTAAATCGGAAAAATCTATTCGATGATTGTAGAAAAGTTGACACGCGTTATCTAAAAAGGAAAAATTTCTATGACCGCCTGCGATTGTCATTAAATTTTTAATTCGATAAAACTCTCGTTTGCTATAATCTTCCTGTAAGTGCATTATACGATAAGTCGCGAAGAGTTTAATTAAGTCAATCATGGATACATATCATAAAGACGAGACCAATCGAGTATCATCGTGTTACGATTACGAACACTGTTAATTGCAATATTAAAAGAGTTTCATCTTTCTTCATCTCTTCTTTTCCTTATAAATCAAATATAATTCAAATTTTTTTTGTATTTCTCGCACGTTAACCCTATCTTTCGTTTCATCATTTTGACTACTTTTGAGGATGTTTATGCGTGAAATAAGAAAAAAAAAAGAAAAGAATCACTTTTTCACTGTCGTCCATCAACATATCGACGATGAAAAGAAAAGCGTGCGAGAGTGGTTGTCTATCCAAACATTTACGAGCTATAGCAGCACCAATAATCCGCACGATATAGACATTATAGACTAGTGCCTAAATATAGCGGCGGGTGTTTCCCTTTTTAAGACGCGTTGAGGTGTGTTATCACGTAATTGAAACGTCGCTTACTTCTATCATCGAGACGAGACGCGAACAGTTAAAATACAGTAAAAAGGACAGTAACACACACACACACACACACACACGCACACGCACACGCACGCACGCACGCATGCACGCCCACGCACACGCACACGCACACACACATACACACGCACGCATGCACGCCCACGCACACGCGCACGCACCATTGTGCCATATTTAGTGCGCGTAAGATGGTCACACTTTCACTATGTCACGCGCGTTGCACATTTACAAAAGAAATTTATACTGACGAGTATAACGATTATCCAAAATCGTAACATAAAAAATGAGTAAATAGAATAAAAAACAATATCCCCCCTATCTTTTTCCCAGATTTCTTTCCGAGTAAAGATTAATGAGAAATTCACGTAATATCTCTATTGCGACTTGTTTAAAATCAGTTGCGAAAAGCAGATTTTTAGATATACTTAATAAAATTCACGTTTAAATTAATAAAACTGCCTGTACTCGTACGGTACATTAGCGAATAGACGAGCGTATTTTTAATACATGTATACTTACTAAGCGTAGTCGTAGAAACACGCGGCCACTACATGCGGTTTATAGATACTGCAAGATTATAGACATTTTGCGTCTCCGTCATCTACGAATATGCTACAGGAACACTATATCTCACCGGAGCGCGATGCCTAAAAATACATGGCGCTATTTTTAACGTCAACGATTCCTGCGCTGCACATGAGAATGAGAATGAGAGAGAGAGAGAGAGAGAGAGAGAGAGAGAGAGAGAGAGAGAACCGCATCGCCGAGCTGCACTAATGGAGAGAAAAAGAAAAAGAGAAAATGCAAGAAATTCGCGATAATGCGATTATGAGTGGCACGAAACATTGATGAAGGCAAGAGAGAAAAAGAGAAAAATAAAGATTCGTTGTGCTTCGTCACCACAAATTTAGTAATATAGAGGAAGGTCACCGATACTGACATAGATCTCCTAAAGCGACATCCCCTTATTTCTTAAAAACTAACCTTTTTAATATCTTATTAATACTAATAAAAACGTGATTTGTTTAACTAATTAAAGAAGTACAAACTCATAATTCATATATTTGTGGCTTATTTCTATACCAAATCAGCTAAAAACAAATTCTATGAATCTGAGAAGAAAATTCTTATGGTGTTCTTTTGCAAATTGCGTAATTAAAATAATGGTGACTATATTATTGATAATATTATGTCATTTTAAATGTTTATAGTTTCATAAATTAGTTTTCTTTACAGAATAGGATATAT